GTCAGTAAAAAAAAAAAAAAAAACAGCATCAGTGGTTAATTTAAATACCATAAAGTTCACCCATTTAAAGATTACAATAGTTCGTAGTATCTTTATAGAGTTGTGCAACCATCACCACAATCGAATTTTAGAACATTTTTCTGAAACCAAAAAGAAACCCCGTAACCGTTAGCAGTAGCTTCCCATTCCCTCCCCTAACTCGCTGCAGCTCTAGACAATCACTTAATCTACTTTGTGTCTCCATAGACCTGTCTATTCTGGACATTTCATATAAATGGAATCATATAATATGTGGTCTTTTGTAACTGACTACTCTCACTCAAGATAATATTTTCAAGGTACATCCATGTTGGAGAATCATTTTTATTGCCAAATAATAATCCATTATATGGACATGAGGGGTCTTCAAAAAGTTCATGGAAGGATTTGTATTATCTTTCAATTCTATTTTTCCACAAACTTTAAAAAATGGAAACATGGGGCCGGCCCGGTGGCACACTGGATAAGTGCACCGCTTGGGAAGCATGGCGGCGCTCCCGCCCGAGGGTTCGGATCCCACATGCAGACCGGTTCCCGCTCACTGGCTGAGCGAGGCGCGGGAGCAACACCGAGGGTTGCAATCCCGTTGCCGGTCCCCAAAAATAATAGTAATAATAATAATAATAATAATAAAATTACAAACCTAGTGTATCTTCTAGTCACCTAGTTGTTTTACAGCAAGACATGATCTTCTAGTGTGGGGTACAGAATTGACTATCAGTATTTGTATATTATATGTGATGATCAGGATAATTAACATATTCATCATTACAAAACGTACTCATTCTTTCTGCCAATTAATCAATTTCTCTCTAACCCCCCTCCCTCCTTTCCCCCCTCTAGTAACCACAGTTCTGTTCTCTCCTTCGGAAAGTTCAACATTTTATTGTGTTTGTTGTTTGTTTCTTTCTTTCTCTCTACTCTCTGTCTCTCCCTTCCCCTCCCTCCCTCCCTCTTTCTTAGCTCCCAATTATGGGTGAGGACATGGGTCATGTGGTATTTCTCTTTCTGTGTCTGGCTTATTTCACTTTACATAAAATTATGTTAAATCTCCAATCTCATCCATGTTGCTACAAATGGCAGAATTTCATTCTTTTTTATGGCTGAGTAATATTCCATCATGTATATATGCCACATTTTCTTCATCCAGTCATCTGCTGATGGACATTTACATTGGTTCCATATTTTGGCTACTGTAAATAGAGCTGTGATAAATATGAATGCAGGTTTCTCTTCAACATGATGATTTCCATTCCTTTGGGTATATACCCAGTAGTGGGATTGCTGGATCATGAGAAACCTCTGTATTGTTTTCCATAAAGGCTGTACCAACTTGCAGACCCACAAACGATGTAGAAGGATTTCCCTTTTTCCGCATTCTCGCCAGCATTTATTTTCTGTCCTTTTTGATAATACCCAATCTAATTTGGGTGAAATGATATCTCAGTGGTTTTGATTTGCATTTCCCTGATGCTTTGTGATGTTGAGGACTTTTTCATATACCTTTCAACCATTTGTACGTCTTCCTTTGAGAAATATCTATTGAGCTCCTTTGACAGTTTTTTAATCATTTTTTTTACACTGTTGTTTCCACAAACTTTTTGAAGTATCCCACATTTTGTTTATCAGTTGATGAACATTTGAGTTGTTCCCACTTTCTTGGCTTTTCTAACCCTACTATGACGTTTGTATACAAGTTTTTGTGTGGATATATGTTTTCATGTCTCAAGTATATACCTAGAAGTGGAACTTCTGGGTCCTATGGCAACTCTATGTTTAACATTTTGAGGAAGTGCCAAACTGTTTTCCAAAGTGGCTACACCATTTTACATTCCCACCAGCAATGTATGAAATTCCATTTTCTCCACATCCTCCTTGCCAATATTTGCTATTGTCCTTTTTATTATAGACATTCTGGTAAGTATGAAGTGGTATTTCATTGTGGTTTTGATTTGCAGTTCCCTAATGGCTACTGATGTGGAGCACCTTTTCATGTGCTTATTGTCCATTTGTATATCTTTGGGAAAATGTTTATTCACATATTTTGCCCATATAAAAAAACCGATTGTCTTTTTATTATTTATATGTTAGAGTTCTTTACATATTCTGGATACCAGTTCCTTGACCGCTATATGATTTTCAAATACTTTTTCCCATTCTATGGGTGTCTTTTCACTTTCTTGATGGTGTACTTTGAAGCACAAAATTTTAATTTTGATGAAGTCCAATTTTAACCTTTTATCACTTGTGCTTTTGGTGTATGTCAACTGGTTTCTAAAGTGAAAGTTCTATCTTAAGAAGATATTTGACAGTTCAAATGAGATAAACTATAAATAGAAAACCAAAACACTTGGGGAAAATATGTAGCCTCATTAATCATTAAAGAAATATGAAATTAAAATAATCATGAAGAAAAGTATATTTAAATAATGGCATACATTTATTGAGGTCTTACTATGTGCCAGGCATTTGTCACTTCAAATAAGATTGTTTCCTCGAAACAATCCTATTACAAATAAGGAACTGAGGTAGAGAGGGGTTAATTAAAGTGCCCAAGGTCACACATTTTAGAGCCAGAATTTGAATCTGCTCAATACACCTCCAGAAGTTTGAGCTCCTGATATTATACCAATAAATGGCAAAACTTAATAGTGGGAAGAGGCAGCAATGTAAACTGGTAACTTTGCTTTTAAGAAATTTAGCAACATGAGACAAGAATAACTCCTGATATTATACCAATAAATGGCAAAACTTAATAGTGGGAGGAGGCAGCAATGTAAACTGGTAACTTTGCTTTTAAGAAATTTAGCAACATGAGACAAGAATAATAACTTTATACCCTATGACTTGATACTACTCTTTTTCAGTTTCCTTGAGATTTAATACTGGGGTTGGGGAGAAAACCTCTGGTATAAAAGATTTTTGTAGATGACCCAAATATTATAGCAAAAAATTATAATAAGCTAAAAGTAAGGAAATATATAGGCAGATATGTCAACATAATAGAACAGTATTTTTTATTAACAAAGACAATTTCAAGTGCCATATAGGAAAGCCAGAAAAATCTAGACAGAAGTATGTCAAATGTTAAATTGTTACCTTAGTGGGAGGATTACCATTTAGTTGTTTCTTAAATCTTTATACCTTTTTACCTTTTCAAATATTGTACAATTACCATTATCACTTTTATAAGAACAAAGAAAAAAATAGGAAAAGAACTATAGAAAGAAATAAATGTGAAGCAACAGAGCCAGCCACTCAGGGTCCTGAGATGGGGGCTGTGGGCCTCAGCCCCCCTACCCCCTACAACAACATCTTAGAATGTACTTATTAGTCACATGTGTTTCTTTGGGGTATGTGACTTATCTGCTCATGTCCTTCACCAAATTTTTGCTTAGATTTTTCTAATTCATTTTTTTAAGAGTTCTTTTTGCATTAGGATGTTAATCCTTGAGTGTTGAATTTGCTCCTTATCAACTGACTTTAATTTGTGATG